GGGGGTGGCGTAAAAAATGACCGGTTTAATAAATAAAAATATTTGCAATCAAATTTAATAATCACGGAATCATTGAGAATTTATTTTCCCAAAATTTTGACGCCTAGCTGCACGGGGGGCCTGGCCCCCTCTCGAAGACGCCAATTCTGTGAGCTATCGAGTCAGTCAAATGTCCCGCCAAAATCAATCTCTTTCTCACTGTTTGAATACCCTTTCAGCTGCATCAAAATTGAAATAATGGAACAAGTAACTAGGGTATATGAGTAATTGCCAGTCTCCCATCATGGGAATTGTGACCCCCCAGTCGCCCCCCTTTCTCTCTCACTGAGGCACAGAACCCCTTTCTGCCACAGTTGTTAGATCTCGTCACGGAAAAGGGCGACTATCGAGACCTGGGGATGAAAAAATATATATATAGAGTGGGAAAGACGTTAAAGGGGACTCGGGAGAACGAGGCGAGAGTCTACGGGTGGCCAGCGTCGAGCCATGGGGGATGGATCGATACCCGGTGTCGAGAGAAAAAAAAAATGACAGAGAAGAAATGAAGAGAAGTACATAACACGTTGAAATGAATTTATGTGTCTATTTATTCTGTACTCCTGTATGAGCGGAATTAATTATCGCCGCGGTGAAGAGGAGTGAGGGGGGGGCTCGGCCCCCCCTCAACGCTTGACCCTCGTTTTAGTTCCTGGGAGGGTTAAATGGGTTGTCAGGGGGTCATATTACCGGGAAATTTCGCGTTTTTATGGGAAATCCAATGATTTTACTCATTTAATCAGAATTCAGGTGGGAATCGTCATATTTTTATTCATTTGACCATTAGAAAATGAATAAACCGATGGTAGAGTTGCAGGGCGTGCAAGATCGGTTATCCAGATCCCGAGTGTGCTCTCTGAGCTGGGGCTATCCGGTTTGGCAAGTGCCTTCTCGTATACACTTGGTGGGCAGGGGTAGAGAGAGAGAATCGGTGAGAGTAGCGGCAGGATAAGGCCCCTAACTCGTGTAGGTGAATCATCCCAGCGTTATATACAGGCGAAAGGCCTCTCTGTCCGGTTCGTTGAACACCGGGGCGTCCCAGGGTGTACATCTACGGCTCAGTTATCGCGGTTAGATTCTTGTTAACTCGAAATGTAAATTTTTTTTAACCTCACTATTTTGCTGGTGCCCTATTCGGTGGTTATATCGTGGGGGAGGCTGAGCTAGGGGTCGAAAATTCAATTAAAAATGAGGAATACAATTTTTAATTTTTAGTTTAGATGTATCCGATTTTTAATAGTCTGTTGCCTCCGCCAATTTTTTTAGGGGGAAAATTGTTTAATTGTTGGTAAAAAAAATGGACAGAAAAAAAAATTGGTAAATTTATTCTTATATTAGGATTGTAGGAAAAATAATAATTTTTAGGGTTTCCTGGAATTTTTTTGGTCGTTCTAATGAATTGTGACTTGCGGCGGTAATCGAGTGTGTGTTGGATTGTTGGATTTTTAATTTCGCGATATCTGAGGGGGAAAAATTATTTTTAAGTATTTGCGCTTGGCATCTTGCCTCATTTTCTTTCTCTCCCGCCTCCACTCGACCCAAACTGGATCGCGGAGGCGCTAACGTCTCTCTTCGTTAGCGTTGAAACGACGAGAAAAGGCCGGCCTCCACTCGAGTGCTTAAACGAATGTTAAGAAAATGTAGAAACAGAAAAAAAAAATTGTTATGAGGGAGACAAAAGATGCAGGGAGATGTAATTATTAAGTGAGGGCAGGTGTTGAGATGTTCGCCAGGTGATTTTCGAGGAGCAGATGGCGCGAGGAAAATAGCTATGTGAAGTTGGCATCGAAGTTTGAAAAATCTAACTTTTTTTGTTGGTTTGGATTGTACTCATTGAGTACTTGAATGTACCCTGTGCACTTTTTTTTGTACCCTCTTACTTTAGCCCTGAAGCAGGGGGGCAAAATCGTGCAGAATCGGAGTTCAAGAAAAAAAAAA